CAAGGCAACAGGGTTCAGAGGTGGGTTGCCCTTGCCTGCCTCTGCGTGGCAACCCTGGACTTCCTTGGTGGTTTCCCTTCTGAATACTCACCAGGGCTGACTCCACTCAGCTTCCAAGATCTGATAACAGCAGGCTAGGCTGGGCTATTCCGTCAAGGCAGAGATGAACAGAGGTGGCTTGCCATTGCCTGCGTACCAATCCTGGACTTCCTCAGTGGTCTCCCATCCAAATACTAACCAGGGCCAACCCTGCTTAGCTTCTAAGATCTGACAAGATCGGGCTCGCCTGGGCCGTCCAGGTCAAGGCAAGAGAGTTCAGAGGTGGTTTGCCCTTGCCTGCCTCTGTGTAATGACCCTGGGCTTCCTTGGTGGTCTCCAGGACTGACCCCCGCTTAGCTTCTGAGATCTGACGAGACTGAGCTAGCCTGGGCTACCCCAGGTCAGGACCGTTAAGTCGCCCGCTTAACAAAGCAGTTGGAGAGTGATTCAGCAAGAACACAGCTTTATTCTTCCACTCGAACACAACTCCAACACGGATCAACATCTGATAGCCCGAACAGCCTTTACATTGCAGCTGTCCTGCTTTTAAACACTCCCGGCTAATGTAGCCACACCCACTGTACAAATATCAACCTATGAGGTTGCAGAGATAAGGTCCAATCACATTAGTTCCCGCTCAGGGAGCTTGCTTGAAATGATTGGCTTGTTACTTCCTGGGCTAGCAATACTATTGGGTGGATTTGGATCCTAGCCCAGGACGAAGCTTAACATTACAGTTCAGTTAGATGTTTCACAACATGTCATGCATTCAAGGCAGCTTTGAATACACTACCAAGGACTGAACAAATTTATCAGGACACCAAAAAGAAAAGACATCTTGGAAACCACTACGGTCGAGAACTCTTCTGTTCCCTCCAGAGATGACTGGGAGTGACAGCAATCCAAGCATCCTTCTACCGTGTTTTAACCAAGATTTCACTAAACCTGTAACTCAATTGATATTTGTATTAATTTTTAATTGCCAGAAACCACTTTTTGAGAGCTGGCTTGGTTTGTTTGAAAAGCTGAGTTTAAGAAATGCAGTGGTTTCCAGTAATTTAACATTTCAGTCATTTAAGATTTTCTTTCAGTAATTTTAAGATTTCGCACTTCTCCAAACTGCAACATAATGTCAGCTAAGGAATCAGAAACCAGGAAGAACCATCCAGTCAGAATTACCCCCTTTTTCTTTAACAGGTACGTGTCGTGGAAATTTGAAACGAGAGGAGCCTTCCTAGAGAATCTTCTTATAATATTTTGGAAAGCAGCATCTGTCGAATTTTTGCATTTGTCATGCAAAAAAGTCTGCCAGAAAAACATGTAAGGCTATCCTTACTTCCATATGTGCAGATTTTATTGCTAAAAACTAGTCCCCTCCAAATTTGTCATCCTCTAACCCAGAGGTCCCCCAATATAGGAGAGCCAGTTTGGTGTAGTGGTTAAGTGCGCGGACTCTAATCTGGGAAAACTGGGTTTGATTCCCCACTCCTCCACATGCAGCTGCTGGTGTGACCTCGGGTGAGTCACAAGCTCTGGCACAGCTGTTCTCTCAAGAGCAGTTCTCGAGAGAGCTCTCTCACCCCCACTGACCTCAAAGGGTGTCTTTTGTGGGGAGGGGAAGGGAAAGGAGATTGTAAACCACTCTGAGACTCCTTCGGGTAGTGAAGGGCGAAGTAAAAAAACCAATCTCCTCCTCCTCCTCTTCTTTTTATTCTTCTGTGCCTGCCAAGTGTTTTAGACAGTGGCGGGGTCATGTTGGGCTTTTGCACAGCGTGGCTTCTGATTGGCCACTGGAGATACGATGGGCTGGGGAGATTTTTTAGAAAGATTGCTTCGGCAGCAGCTGCCACCACAGCACAAGAAGCTTCACTGTCTGACTGAAGGTAAGCTGTAGGAGCCATACTGTGGATGGCTCCACCTCCTGCAGCAGCCATCTTGCAGACTACAGAGACCAGTTCTCCTGGAGGAAATGGCAAGTTTGGAGGGTGAAGCCCGTGATATACCATAGAGTCTGGGAGAAATTAACGTCCTAGAGTGGCTACAGAAGATGGATGCTCTACTACTGCTTCTTCTCCTATGTTATACCATAGAGACTAGGAGAAACTGATTGATGCCAATCCTCCGAATGAGTGACCTTGCAAACGTCCTGTCAATGACAGCCTCGTTTGGTTTTGTGAAATGAAGGCCCTGGCTTCCTTGCAATGTTCCCTCTAAGCCGAGTGAGTGTGAGCTAGCTCACAGTTTTTTAGCCCCCGGCTCACACATTTTTTGTCGTAGCTCAGGAAGGGGATGGCTCCAGAGCAAACTAATCTATGCAGTCGCCAAATCGCTCGCTCATAACTTTAATGTCTAGCTCACAAAGTAGAATTTTTGCTCACAAGACTATTATTACCCTGCCCTCCCGACCACGGCCAGCTCAGGGCAGCTTACATAAGAACACAATAAAATTCCAACCATATAGTATAAAAGTATAACATCTATGAATACGATAACAGTTCTTAAAAACCTTACTTAGGCTGCGGTCACACGCAACATTAGCCACGCAAGAGATACGGAAGACAGGCGGAGTTTCCGGGCGCGATCTCACCAGCATATCTGGGAAGCGTAGCGCTTCCGTGACACAACCGAGGCTTCCTTCCGAAAACACGCAGCAAAAAACTAGTACCTCGGAGGTACTAGTTTCCGGAAACTGCGGGGCAAGGGCGGGCGTCTGATCGCGTTTCCGGTGGCATCCGGCGCCCGCCCATGTCTCCTTGCGAAAAAGGGTTGTTTTTTCCCCAAGTCTCCGTGGATGCGCACACGCACCCAACGGAGCATGCGCATTCGTAGTGTACACAAAAAAAGAAAACCAGTTCGCTGCGCCGCGCGCTTCTTCGTTGCGCGCAGGCGTGTGGTGTGATCGGCACCTCTCCCTACCCACGGAAGCTCCACGGTACCTCCACAGAACCTCCACAGGAGGTCTGATCGCTTAACTGCGTGTTAGTTTGCCCCGGGGCAAACAGCCACGCTTCCCCCCCCCCCGCAGTTTCCTGCCCGTGTGACCAGAGCCAAAGTTTCCTTAGTACTTAGTTTCCTCATCTTACAGTCAGCTCATTGATCTTCTTCAGTTGTCCTGGGCAATTAGCTCAGGCGGTAATTGGAAGACCCAGGGGGTCAGGGCCAGTGTTCCCTCTAAGCTGAGTTACTGTGAGCCAGGCCATGTGTGTCATAAAACGCAATGCCAGGTAGCGGAGAACAGTGTTCCCTCTAAGATGAGTTAGTGTGAGCTAGCTCACAGTTTTTTAGCCTCCAGCTCACACATTTTTTTGCCTTGGCTCAGGAAGGAGGAGGGCTCCAGAGAAAACTAATTAATGCAGCAGCCAAATCGCTTGCTCACAACTTTAATGCCAGCATCTCACAAAGTAGAATTTTTGCTCACAAGACTCCACAGTTTAGAGGGAGCGTTGATCAGGGCTCTCCCGTCAAGAGCTATCAGTTGTGACTTTATTGACTTTCTTCCCGTCAGCTTATTCCTCATTTGTCTGACTTTCACACCCATGGAGACGGATCAAGAGGGGCAGCCGTGTCAGTCGGTCTGTAGCAGTAGAAAAGAGCAAGAGCCCAGGAGGAGCCCCGTAAAGACTAACAAAACTTGTGGCAGGGGAGGAGCTTTCGTGAATCACGGCTCACTTCTTCAGACAAGTCCTCCCCTGCCACAAATTTTGTTACTCTTGAAGGTGCTCCTGGATTCTTGCTCTTTGCTACTGTAACTGCATAGGATTGCACTGGGAAATCTGATTATGGTCCTGTAACTTTTGCCGTTCTCTTCATTCGAATGAGATGTGCTTCTTGGGGCCAATAGGAAATGCTGGTCCTTCTAGCCATAGCCAATAGAACAAGCTACCTTGAGCCGCACAAGCCAATCACAAGCCACATGGCATCTTCTGGTGCCAGGCTCAGACTGACAGTTCCCCTTTCCTGTATTTCAGATTTCCTGGCTAGTTTTGAAGGTTTACCTAGTTTTCATTGGAGGCGGCCATGGAGAAATGTAGGAGCATGCCATTAAAATGATTGGACGCTATGGGGCAGCAGACGCCCATGCTATTTTAAATCTTCCTGGAGGGAAAAACTTGATGCTGTTGAGTTTTAAATTTTTATTTCTTCTATTTATTTAACTCACGTATACCCCATCTTTCTCCCCAACAGAGACCCAGTGCCGCTTACCTCCTCCTCCTCCATTTTATCCTCACAACAACCCTGTAAAATAGATTGCTTTGAGAGTGCGTGCCTGGCCCAAGGTCACCAGCAAGCTTCCGTGGGGGTGGGGGAATTCGAACCTGGGACTTCCAGATTCCAGTGCAGCACTGAAACCACGACACCCCCACACTGGCATGCTCAAGTTTCTGGTAAGAGGAGAAATGAATTTATCAATGAAGTTGCGATGGGAAAAGACTATGATGGGGTTGCCAACTCTGAGCTGGGAAATTCCTGGAGATTGTTGTCAGCTCCGGACTGGAAAGTACCCGGAGATGGGGGGGGTGAGTGTGAGTGTGGAGAGCCTGGGGAGGGCGGGGTTTGGGAAGGGAAGGAACCTCACCAGGGTATAATGCTATACAGCCTACTCCAAAGCAGCCATTTTCTCCAAGGAAACTGATTTCTAGAGATCAATCATAACGCCAAGGGATCTCCAGGCCTCACCTGGAGGCTGGCAGCCCTAAACCGAGAGCAGTTTCCCATATCCCTGCAACGCAGTCCGCCTCTCTAATAGTGGGGCGGGCTCCGGCTGGGCGATACTGCATCTGCTTTGCATGCAGAAGACACCGGACTTCAATCCAATCGCTTGTCTGAATGAAGAATTGCTGCACCCGTTTCCTGCAACGTGCGAACGCATATTGAGGCTTTTTTGACCCCCTTGAACGGAAATCCCAAAGCGAAGCAGAAGCCGGAGCTATCGCATGTTGCTCTAGCCGTGTCTCCCTTACCTCTATGTCCAGACCCGGTTTCTCTTCCTCCCGCCGTCGTAGATTTAAGGACTTCTTAGGCTCACAGTTCCTTTGCGCGCGCATCAGCCTTCCTGGTTATTTTTGACACCCTTGTGTTTTCCTGTGTTGAGTGGCTGAAGGCACAGCAAAACCCGGACTTATTCAGCACTAGTTGCAACGTGCAAGCGTCTTATCCCGACCCCTTAAACAAGAATAGCGCCAACAAAGACTTTTCCTGCTTTTCCAACATCAGGGACCCTCTTCTTGAGTGTAAAAGAGTGAGAAGCGTTTGCCTTTTTAAAAAACGTCTTCTGTGCCTGCAAAAGCTTCCCGCTCTGGGGAAGGAAAGAGCCGTCTAATATTACTGTCTCCACACTCTGGAGACAGGCGGCTGGGAGATGCGCGCTCCAGTCGCTAGGCCTGCCAGTCTCCCGGCGGTGGCTGGAGATCTCCCGGAATTGCAACTGGTATTCTGAGCCGGCTAGAGATCAGTTCCCCTGGAGAAAATGGGCTGCTTTGGAAGGGGGACTAGGGCATTATACCCTGCTGAGGTCCCTCTCCTCCCCAAACCACGCCCTCCCCGGAGACCACCCCCACAATCTCCAGGAATTCCATACCCAGAACTGGCAACCATCGCTCAAGACCGCTGTTCCCTCTAAGCTGAGTGAGTGTGACCTAGCTCACAGTTTTTTAGCCTCCGGCTCACCCATTTTTGTCTTCGCTCAGGAAGGGACGGATCCAAAGCAAACTAATTTATGCAGTACCAGATCGCTGGCTCACAACTTTAATGCCAGTAGCTCACAAAGGAGAATTTCTGCTCACAGGACTCCACGGTTTAGAGGGAGCATTGCTCAAGACCATAATCCGGGTTGGGCAAAAAGCCCCGCAAACCAGGAATCCTCATTTTTGCAAGCGGGAAGTGCAAGAGAGCAGGCTGCGAAAAGCAAAGGGTTGCAACCAATGCTCCCTCTAAGCTGTGGAGTTTTGTGAGCAAAAATTCTATTTTGTGAGCTGCTGGCATGAAAGTTGTGAGCCAGTGGGATTTGGCGAATGCATAAATTGGTTTGCTCTGGAGCCATCTTTCCTGAGCGAAGACAGAAATGGGTGAGCTGGAGGCTAGAAAACTGTGAGCTAGCTCACACTAACTCATCTTAGAGGGAACACTGGTTGCAACCCCTCCCCACCCGGCGATGCAACCTAATGCAGACCAGAGAATCGCTCTCAACCGTGCACGACGACCCTGCAACGTCGGCCGCCCGGCCGCCCGCCCGACCTCTTTGGCTTCCAACCCCCCTCCCCCCTTGGGACTCTCGTCGTCACATCCGCCCTGCCTGTGGTTTTCGTTTCTCCGAGTGGCTTTCTCTTTCGGGCTATCATTTCCGGATCGCACCAAAACAACCGACGAGGAAGAAGGAAGCGGCCGGGGGTCGGGGAGCCTGGAGCCCGGGAAACCCAACGGTGATCTGATTCCCTCTGTTTTCCTATTTGCCGTTTTAGGTTTTCTCTCTGTGTGTGGATGTGTTGGGGGGAAGGTTTGGGTTTAGGGATGGCGAGGGACCCAGGCGTCCGACCCTCCCCCGCTCTCCAGCACGTGTGCGCCCCCTCCCTCTAGCTCCCCCCCTCCCAATAAGACCCGGCTATTCCTCTCCCTCCAGCAGATGGTTTTAAGTATGAAAAACAGCCCTGCAGGGTAGGGCGACCGACCCATCATCCTGTTTCCAGGAGGGGCCGCCGACTGAATTTGAAGTTGGGTACCTGTAACCTAGCAGTTCGAAAGCAAGAAATTGCAAGTAGAGAAATAGGTACCGCTTCGGTGGGAAGGTCACAGCGTTCCGTGCGCCTTGGTGTTTAGTCATGCCGGCCACATGACCACGGAAACGTCTTCGGACAGCGCTGGCTCTTCGGCTTTGAAACGGAGATGAGCACCGCAACCCTAGAGTCGGACTCGACTGGCTTTCGAGCAAGGGAACCTTTACCTGTAACCTGGGTGGGCGAGGCCGGGAGTGCTCCCGGAGTTACGACAGCTCTCCGGGGCTACACAGGTCAGTTCTCCAGGCCGATTTGGCCGGGGATCCTGGAGGTTTTTTCCCCCAGAGGAGTTACCCGCGTTAGTCTGTTGCTGCAAAATAGTAAAAAGCCCAGTAGCCACTTTAAGGGGGGGGGGGGCGGCCAAACTTGCTCTGCGTAAGAGCCACATAGAATAAATGTCAGGTGTTTGAGAGCCTGGTGAACAGATATTACACACGTTTTTATTTAAAAATATGCACATTTGCTTTTTATTCACATTAGACTCGAAAATAAAAACAAAAGGGGTAGAAACAGATATTAGTGATATTTATTTGTCCAACGATACTTGTTTGCTAATGATATTTGTCTAAGAGAAAGAGAGAGGTGAAAAGAAAGACGGAAAGAGGTTGAGAGAGAGAGAGAGAGAAGGAAAGAGAAAGCAAAGAGATGGGAGGAAGGGAGGGAGGAAGAAAGAGAAAGCACACCTCCCCTTCGCATCCTCAGCTTCCCTGCCGGCCCAGCCACAGTTTGGCCACCCCTGTTTAAGAGTATTGTATTGTAGCATAAGCTTTCGAGAAACACAGCTCTCTCCGTCAGATTGCATCAGTTTTCTTCGTACCCTCCGTGCATCTGACGGAGAGAGCTGTGTTTCTCGAAAGCTTATGCTACAATAGAGTTTGTTAGTCTTAAAGGTGTGACTGGGATTTTTAGTATTTTGGAGGGGTTTTTTTATGATCTTCTAGGCATGGAACAAGGGGCTGCAGTGGCTCAAGTGGTTAAGACGCTGAACGGCAGGCTGTGGAAGGTCAGTAGTTCAGCAGTTCGAGACCCGGGTGCCGCATGACGGAGTGAGCTCCCGTCTCTAGTTCCAGCTCCTGCCAACCTAGCAGTTCGAAAGCAAGAAATTGCAAGTAGATAAATAGGTACCACTTCGGTGGGAAGGTAACAGCATTCCGTGCGCCTTGGTGTTTAGTCATGCCGGCCACATGACCACGGAATTATGGAGCAGAGGTCCATGTTTAGTTTATGCCAGGCACATGACCTTCGGACATGTTTAGTTATGCCAGGCACATGACCTTCGGACAGCGCTGGCTCTTCGGCTTTGAAACGGAGATGAGCACCGCAACCCTAGAGTCGGATTTGACTGGCTTTCGAGCAAGGGAACCTTTACCTTTACCTTTAGGCATGGAACAGGGGGTCACTGGGGGTATTTGTGGGTTTCCTGCATTACACAGGGGGTTGGACTAGAAGACCCTGGAGGTCCCTTTCAACTCTATGATTCTAGGAAATGTCAGCTTGGGAAGGTGGACGGTATGGCCTTGCATCCCCGGTGAAGTCCTCCTTTCCCAGATCTCTAGGGATTTCTTACCCAGACTCCGAGTGCAGCCCCCCAAGTCTCCAGGAATTTCTCAAGCCGGAGTTAGCAGTCGCTTGAGCGTACTGCCTCTGACTGTGGAGGTTCCGTTCCACTGCTGGCTTAAGAATCGCCTTGGGGGAATGAGATCGTAGGCTGACCTAGTCCCATAAAGGTCAACCACATCCTTCTTCAGATACCAAAGAGCAAGAGTCCAGGACCACCTTAAAGACTTAACAAAATATGTGGGAGGGTCGGAGCTTTCTTGAGTCACTGTTCACTTCTTCAGATACATTCTTCTGGGAAGCAAACAGGCAAGGCTTGGAGGTAGATGGTCATTCTCAGTTGTTTCTCCCCAGCCTCTGCATATTCAGCGGTATACTGCTGCTAAACCTGGAGGCTCTACTTAGCAATCACAAGAAATTGCTGTTGGTGATGGTGGGACGTGCTGTCAAATCGCAGCCTATTCATGGTGAGCCTGTGGGGTTTTCGAGGTAAAAGGTGTCCAGAGGTGGTTTTGCCATTGCCTGCCTCTGCGTGGCAACCCTGGACTCCCTTGGTGGTCTCCCATCCAAATATTAACCAGGTCTGACCCTGCTTAGCTTCTGAGATCTGATGAGATCAGTCTAGCCTGTGTTATTCAGGTCCAGGCAAGAGACCAATAGAGGTGGTTTGCCATTGCTTGCCTCTGCGTAGCAACCCAGGACTTCCTTGGTGGTCTCCCACCCAAATATTAACCAGGTCTGACCCTGCTTAGCTTCTGAGATCTGATGAGATCAGTCTAGCCTGTGTTATTCAGGTCCAGGCAAGAGACCAATAGAGGTGGTTTGCCATTGCTTGCCTCTGCGTAGCAACCCAGGACTTCCTTGGTGGTCTCCCACCCAAATATTAACCAGGTCTGACCCTGCTTAGCTCCTGAGATCTGATGAGATCAGTCTAGCCTGGGTTATTCAGGTCCAGGCAAGAGACCAATAGAGGTGGTTTGCCATTGCTTGCCTCTGCGTAGCAACCCAGGACTTCCTTGGTGGTCTCCCACCCAAATATTAACCAGGTCTGACCCTGCTTAGCTCCTGAGATCTGATGAGATCAGTCTAGCCTGTGTTATTCAGGTCCAGGCAAGAGACCAATAGAGGTGGTTTGCCATTGCTTGCCTCTGCGTAGCAACCCTGGACTCCCTTGGTGGTCTCCCACCCAAATATTAACCAGGTCTGACCCTGCTTAGCTCCTGAGATCTGATGAGATCAGTCTAGCCTGGGTTATTCAGGTCCAGGCAAGAGACCAACAGAGGTGGTTTGCCATTGCTTGCCTCTGCGTAGCAACCCTGGACTCCCTTGGTGGTCTCCCACCCAAATATTAACCAGGTCTGACCCTGCTTAGCTCCTGAGATCTGATGAGATCAGTCTAGCCTGGGTTATTCAGGTCCAGGCAAGAGACCAACAGAGGTGGTTTGCTATTGCCTGCCTCTGCGTAGCAACCCAGGACTTCCTTGGTGGAGACCCTCCAAACGCTGACCAGGGTTGATCCTGCTGAGCTTCTCCTGTCTGATGAGATCAGGCTCGCCTGAGCCATCCCGATCAAGCCAAGAGACACTCAAAGATGGTTCGCCATGGCCTGCCTCTGCGTAGCAACCCTGGACCTCCTTGGTGGTCTCCCATCCAGGTCTGACCCCCGCTTGGCTTCTGTGACCAGGCGAGGGCATTGCCGTGGGTAGTCATAGGTTCCGATGCCTGCCCCTCACCCTAACTTGATGACCAGGAAGCTGGACCCAAGCATACAAAGGAGATTAGAACTCAAGAATCTACTCTCTGTTTTGATCCTCCTTTCCGGGTTTAGGTGCCACTCAGGGTGATGAACCTGTGGCTGAGCTGTAATGTTTCAGAGAGGAGGTGGAGGCTCACAGGACAGCAGGGTGGATTTGATTTAAATCAGATTGACTGAAACCACGATTTGAATCACTAGTCAGTAAGACTCAATTTTAATTCTTGGTTTTCTACAGAAAGGCTCATTCTTTTGAAAACAGATCAGCCAGTATCATCATGCCCCTATATAAATCAATGGTGAGACCTCATTTGGAATACTGTGTGCAGTTCTGGTCACCACACCTCAAAAAGGATATTATAGCTTTGGGAAAAGTGCAGAAAAGGGCAACTCGAATGATAAAAGGGTTGGAACACTTTCCCTATGAGGAAAGGTTAAAGCGCTTAGGGCTCTTTAGCTTGGAGAAACGACGACTGAGGGGTGACATGATTGAGGTTTATAAGATTATGCATGGGAAAGAGCAGGTAGAGAAAGAGGTACTTTTCTCCCTTTCTCACAATACAAGAACTCGTGGGCACTCCATGAAATTGCTGAGCGGTCGGGTTAGAACGGATAAAAGGAAGTACTTCTTCACCCAAAGAGTGATTAACACATGGAATTCACTGCCACAGGAAGTGGTGGCAGCTACAAGCATGGACGGCTTCAAAAGGGAATTAGATAAGCATATGGAGCAGAGGTCCATCAGTGGCTATTAGCCACAAGGTGTAGATAGGGGCTCTGGGGCAAGTGATGCTCTGTCTTCTTGGTGCTTGGGGGGGGTCCACAGTGGGAGGGCTTCTTATGTCCTGGCCCCACTGGTGGACCTCCTGATGGCACTGGTATTTCTGGCCACTGTGTGACACAGAGTGTTGGACTGGATGGGCCTTTGGCCTGATCCAACATTGGCGTCTCTTATGTTCTTATTCTTGCTGGCATTAATATTTGCAACCGAGATGAAGGTGTTGTTTTAGTATAACCACTTTTCAGGTTAGTTTTAGTTGCATCAGAAAATTAATGCTTGGTTATTTACCACTTGAAATAGATAGTTATGAAATCATTGCGAGGTGAACCATCTCTGGTTCGATCGGTTAATCATTCATATTTGAACAACATTTCTACTGTACATAAGAGACGCCAATGTTGGATCAGGCCAAAGGCCCATCCAGCCCAACACCCTGTGTCACACAGTGGCCAGAAATACCAGTGCCATCAGGAGGTCCACCAGTGGGGCCAGGACATTAGAAGCCATCCCACTGTTGACCCCCCCAAGCACCAAGATGACAGAGCATCACTTGCCCCAGAGTCCCTATCTATACCTTGTGGCTAATAGCCACTGATGGACCTCTGCTCCATATGCTTATCTAATTCCCTTTTGAAGCCGTCCATGCTTGTAGCACCCACCACTTCCTGTGGCAGTGAATTCCAAGTGTTAATCACTCTTTGGGTGAAGAAGGACGTCCT